AAAAAAAAAAAAAAAACACCTACTGGCACTGATCATGGAGATGCACGTATTAGAATTAACAAAAGTCTGCGTCAGGCCAGTAGCCCATACAGCCTAAGCGACGAAATATTTCTACTTTCCCTTCCCCCTGGATGGGATACTAGTCCATCACATAGTTGCTCCCCATTTTAAATCCTCCTCCACCCATTTACACAACTACATGTCTAGCCAGGGCGTCATGACCATTAGGCCTGGACGCTTTTCCAGCCGGAACCATTGCAGAAGATTAAACAAATGCAATATTTCCAATTAGTTTAAACATCTCCGAACTATTACAAATTAATATTCTTCCTTAAATAATTATTAACCACACATTTGGAGCTATCAAAGCAGCTACCATTAAGACCAGCCATCTACAGCTAAAATTGGGAGATCGTCAGTTACTCGACACCTTTTCGCGTCTATTTTAAATACCTTGAATATATACCTTTAAATATAGAGCTTGTACTGATGGATTCTTCTAAACAAGGTTTATATTCAAAGGTATATACTCAAGGTATTTATAATAGACGCGAAAAGATGTCGAGTAACTGAGATCTCTCAATTTTAACTGTAGACGGCTAGTCTTAATGGTAGCTGCTTTGAAAGCTCCCAATGTGTGGTTAATAATTAGTTTTTTATTTTGATGTTTCACTTTTACACTTATGTGACAATGTTGTATCGTTTAGTAGGGGTTATAATGAACCTGCTCTAAGCAAATTCTCGCTTTTTAGGTTCTTGACAGGTATTTAGACAAAACTTATCGATGCAAAACTAAATTACTTTACTTTTAATCAGTCAATAAAGTGAAAGTTCTCACTGCATCAGGCAATATGAGTTTGATTCCAGTGGATCGCAATTTGTAGTCCTCAACCCCTACCTCTCACCCGCTACCCCTCCCACCTAACATCTCAACGCCTACCCTTCACCCCTGGAATAGACATCATGCAGTGTGGTGGGTTGTGAGAGTTGATCGTAAACCCGCTGATGATGTTTTAGAAGTGATATGTTTTGCCGAAAACTCTGTCGAAGGTATAGACAGTGGGGAAAGTAGCAGTCTAGATTGGTGGCTGAAAAATGAGATCGAGAAATCCAGGTGAGAACTTTGTAAAACCCATCGCGAGCGATCGCTATTTAACACGTGATGTTGAAAAGCAAAGTTATTCACCATCAGAAGCCTTTTTTACGTTTACTTCGCGCACAGTTCTTAAGTTTTGGTGAAAAACTCTTATCAAAAAACAAAAAGTTCCATAATTTTCACCAAGAGCACCTTTTGAACGATGCGATGTGATATGATCCTACTATTTAGCTGCATTTGCGTTTCACAAGCGTACGTTTATCCCTGGTTGCAAGTTATTGTATTTCATTTAGTTTACTTCTCTTATTGTTCATAGTCTGTTATCTGAAGCTTACAAATTGAGTTATTCTCTTCTTTTTCTTTTTCTCCCTGCACAACTCGCCTCGATTAGCGTACGCTATATGCGAGTTGTACATGTTCTTCTTTTAAATGTAAAAACATTAATAAAGTTTGTTGTTTGTTTGTTTGTGATACGATCAGCTGTGTTGTTAAAAAGTTTCGTACATTTTTGTATTTTGTTAACTTCAGAAAACAAATGGAATGAAAACATTGTCTTGTTGATATTATTATTGAAGGAGAAGATGCAGAGGACAAGGAGTTTCCGATGGAGGAGTCAGCAGCTTCCAGTGAGTGAACTGTTTTTAAGTGGTACACGTCCAACATAACAAGTGTAATGTCTGATTGTAGATCCATTT